GGCGAGATCACCTTGTGCCCTGTGCAAAACCCATCTAGCAGCATCAGTACTACCAGCTCACAGCAACCTCTCTGGAAATTAAATGATTTTAGAAGCTGATGCATTCAGGGCAGKGGGGCAGTGCATGCAAATCCCTCTCTCCTGCTCAGCTCCTCCCTAAGTRCTGCTCTTTAATTATTTGACATACATCTTCAATAGCAGGGCACTTCAAATTCAAGGTCTGAAATAGGATGCCCAGAGCCACCCCCCTCCTCRCGCTGGGGACTGCTGCCTGTGCTCCCATCCTGCTGCCCAGGTTGCACCATTCCTTTCTGCACCCCATCACTCACACACTTCCATCCTGCAAACAGGTGCAAGGAGATTAAAAACTCACTCATTCAGCTGGGATTTTCATCTGTTTGCACTTTCCTCTTTGTCACTCCTATATGTCAACAATTCTTGAGCAGAAGGCAGTGGGAAGCTGCTCTTTCAGCTCATTCTACGTTGCTTGCTGTTTACAGCAAGGAGCAAGAGCTTCATTCTGCAGGACAGCTCTGCGAGCAGCTAAAAAGGCAGGASAAAACTGAAAATATAAAGTTCTATTGGACTTTGGTTGAATTTTTTTCCTGTTATTTACCTTTGTTATAAAACAAACACATGCTTTGATGTGTTTTATTATAAATTTTATTTGAAATGTATTGACAGACCTCTGAGAGGGTTATTTTTATGGCTTTTAAACAAAAATTAAKATATGTCATTTCTGAAATGCTCATTTTTTCATTTTAGTATTTCCAACATAATTGAAATACTGTACTATCACTGGCACTAAATATCAAACTGGCATTGTAGCACAAACAGGAGACCTCAACCTAAGTGAGACACTATTCCATGCTAAGTGACAATTAAAAGCACAGAGTGTAGCGACTAACATTCTTCCACTGTGCCTGACAGACAAGAGATATCAGGAAATTATGTTAAAAACTTCGCATTAGATTTGAAAAGCCTTATCTGCAGCTATCTCTTTTCCTTTAAATTCCAACTACCTCTTTTCCTTTAAAAGTTTTCTTGAGAAAATGGATTTTTTCTCCATTTCCTTCTGAACCAAAGCAGCCTTCATGCTCTCACCCCTCTTTCGMATTGCCAGACTATCCTCCAGGTAGATATTCTGGTTTTGGATCACCCAAGCACCCCCACTCTGCACTTGTTGCAGCAGCATCCACACGAGTGGACTATCAGCTATTTACAGAGAAGAGACTTGCAGGAGTTCCCCCAAGGATGACAGCCTCAAAGTTGGGACTAACCTGCATGAGATTAGGGTGGACTTCTCCCAGAGCAGCTCTTCCTGTCCCTAAAGCAGCCCCCGTGTGTGCTACGGACAGCCAGAGCATTCCCACAGGGATGCCAGGCAGCATAGCCATTTCCAAACACGTTTCTAAGGGCAGTTCTCAAGTCCTTCAGTGCCATAGTCAGATCCCCACGAGCCAATTACAAATTGGCGATTTATGAGACAAACTGATGGTTTCACTTATTCCCCGGCAGAGCGTGGGCTGCAGGAACGCAGCCAGCAGGCGCGGGTTGCTCAAGGGCAGCACCGGCACCGCGCGCAGATCCCAGCAGTTTCCTCATCTCTCCAGCCCCATCTCACTGGCGGGACAGAGCGGGTCTGGGAAAGCTCTGCTGGTGCCGAGGGAGGAGGGCATGGCAYGGACACAAGCCGTGGAGTGCAACGGTGAGCTGGAAAAGGAAGGATTAAGGGAGAAAGAACTGCAGAGACTGCTCTAAACTCTGCAAATCTGCTTTTTGGGAGGTTGAAGTGGTGGAAAGCAGCAGTTCATTTCAGATATGATACATTGCATTAAAATTCCCCRTGGAGCACAAAATGAAGGTTAGCAAAATACTCTTTTCACAACTGGTTTGCTCACGTACTTGGCATACAAGGAAGAGAAATTACACATTCTCTGCYGAGCATTTCTAGCACATTCACCCGGTTGCTGCTCACAGGAAGCGTTCATGGTTGAAACACAAAGGAAACAGCAGTACAGAAACCATCGGGATGGCCCTGTCCCAGACAAGCAACAAGAACAAGCAGCCATCAAGCCCAAATTGATCTTGCGAGACCACACTGCATCCACATAGTGCTCAAATAMGAATTTCCCTGGTATGAGGCAAAAAGGGCAGAAGGGGGCATCAGTGAAACGGTGAGAAGGGGAGAGGGTTGAAAAGAATAGCAGAAATCACATGGAGAGACAGGGAGAGGTGCCTAGTGAGCCACTTCTGTAAGAGCCTGAGCTTTTATGGCCTTTCCAAGAATGTATATATATTATATATAGATATATCTCTACTGTAAACAAAGAAAATGCATTAAGAAAACTCCAAGCCCCGAGATAGTTTCTGTTTCAAAATACGAAAAGGAGCTACACAGCCAGAACAATCCACTAGCGTTCAAGGAGGAAATAATATCCTGCTAAAGCTGAGAGGTTTTGCATAACTCTATCCAAACATCGTCAGTGTGGAGGGAAAAAGTGTGTTATTTTCCCCCTTCAATCTTATATGCCAAGAAAGAAGAAATGCATTCTATTGAAAAGGAAATGATTATTTCAAGATTTAGTCCTCCAAATGTAGGCCAAAAATTTGGAAAGTGTCAAATGCTGTTCCTAGCAGATACCAATTTATAAGCAGCTCTGGCTTTRTTAGACAGGAGAAAAGCAGAACTACATAACTAATGGTTTTCCAATTGCATGTGCATGTACTCAAAATGCCACTACTTTTACAAACAATCCAGTGGTGGTTTCAAGGGAGGCCTTGCAAGATCTCCAAAGCTTCTCTCAACACTGCTTCAAAATAAGAGGGATGAGAGGGGGGACATGAAGCTAAGCGAGTCACAGGCCAGTCCCCAGCAGGGCACAGAGCCCCTGGCCCAGCACAGCTCTCGGCCACCACAGGGATCTGAGTCCCCCTCACGGGGGGAGTCCCGTCGCCCTGGCTCCAGCCTGGAGCTGCAGGARCACAACGGGCTTTCTCAGAGCACAAGATTTTCATGAGTCGGGCACTTCTTCACAGCACGTAATCCTACTCATTTTAATAAGAGGTTTGYGTCACTTAGGCTTCCCTAAAGTCTGAAAATTTACTCTGACTTCAAAAGTCACATTTTCCCTTTAAAGGGAAGAGGAAAAAAGGACGCCCACCCTTCAGATGTTTTTACTGATCCTTTGCTGACCACTTTGTGAACCCAGAAGCCTGATGTCAGTTACTCTGCAGAAAGGATAYAGGCTCCTCTGGCATAGCTGCAATTATTTTTAAACACTTCCCCCTCACAGACTATGTCTTGAGAGGTTAGCAGGGGAAGACAGACCCTGTGCATCTATATTGAGCACAGAACAACTTACAAAAATATAGTTCAGGAAAAAATAAGGAAAGTGTCACGGGAAAACACAGGTTACATGTATTTCTAATTGAAGTATTTTGACAGTGTCATGAAAGACCATCAGCAACCTATTTCCAGATAGGAAACTGCAGCACAGACATTTCAATGCATATGCATCCACACATGTGCCCCCATCAAATTAATGGCAGATTGATACACCTTGATCAATAATTATGTCCTTACTGAAACAGTGAAAAAACAACATAGCTGCTTGAAATATCTACTCAAACCCTGGCAACCTGAAGTTGAAGTCTCTTGTCTCTATATTAGCTTCCCTTTGCTTATTGTCTCTACATAAGCTTCCCTTCTGCTCCAGGCAGAGCAGCTAAAGCACCAAGCAAAATAACAAGGACAAAGCAAACACTTTCCTCCCCTAAACACATCTCACAGCTCCACAAGGACTGGGGGGACCAGAGTCACCACACSCATTTGGGACAAACCACAGAGCACCAGTTCATAGCTTGTATTCTAACCCATCTATAACATTCAAGGCAGCTTATAAAAGCACAACAACAGAAGGTCAGTAGGATTTTACTTRAATTGATGAACATTGATTTTAGAGCTGCCCCCCTCCCACCCCCCAGTTTTGGGTCCTCTCAGAGAGGGGTAAGGACAGGCCTATGGTGGTTAGAAAGAGAAGGCCCTGAACCCAAGCAAAAATTATGATCAGTGATGAAAATAACAGAAGCAACAAAAGCACAATGCTTTCTTTTCATTCACTTTCAAAACAACCATAAGAAAACAAAGAACCAAAGACGCATTTGCAGCCAGCTGTATTCTCAATGTCAGGTTGCAGATACTTTTCTTCTGTTTGTTTCTAACAAAGCTACTCTCTCCTGCAGTTCTCCTCAGGGCAGTCAGGGACAAAACATTGAAACTGTAATAGTTTTTCATGTCCAAATTGCCAATTCACATTCCTGGCCTCGGTACCACATACCTGTGCTCTATACCCTCTTCTCCAACTGGACATTCTTACACCTCTCAGTCTTACTAAAGAACACTCATTTGAATGAGCTATTTTTTAATTTGTTTTTAGCAATTTCTAGTATTTCTCAGAAATCCTGCAGTCACAGAAGGCTGCAGCTTGAATGCTGCAAGTCCTCAGCTATTTCACTTAAAAGGTAAAAGTTTTYAGCCCTTTGTGGTTAGGGATAAAACTTAAAAGTATCGAACAAGAGCAGAGTAAAAATGCTGGATTGAAGCAGAATTCAGATTAATGTCATGATTCTGGGGGACATGTTCTGTTTTCTTAAACTGTGGCCAACTGCAAAGTAGAAATATAGATAATGTAGGATTATGACAAAAAACACTCTACAGCTAGGAGGGAGACAAGACTGAGTTCATGACAGCTGTTCTGGAAAGCAGAGTACCATTTAGGAATATTAATGGTCTTCTTGAACTACTAAATTTCTCTTTTAGATTTTGAAGAAATCAATTTGTCCTAGAATTAACTCCATTACTTRTCAAGTAACAGCGATATTAAATTAGAAGATTCTGTGCAAGTTCAACCTCAACAATGACTAACTACCAATTCCAGATTTCGATGAATTCACCTGAAAATTGTTTCAGATCAACAAAACTGAACTCTCCATCCTACCTGACATGGTCTCAGGGTCATAGAGGCTKCCAGTCGAGCAGATTTCACGTCTTGCAGAACATGTCACATCCTTCCTCAAGGCCATCCATGACTGCTGTGTTTTCTGAGAAGTTTCTCAGCCATGATGAGGATTTCTGCATAGGAAACAACAGACACTTCTTTCAAAAAACATAAAATTTAGGTCTTTAACTAATTTTCCTTCAGATGCTTAGTAATCCAGTTTACATACTTGCACACATACTCAGCATTGTTTTTTTTTCTCCTTATTTGCACTGATTTGGTTGGTACCACTTCTTACAAGGCAGTTATCTAAAAAGTACTCCTCACTGAACTGTACGCTATTTACCAGACATATTACAAAATTGTTTGGTATCAATTTTATATTTTTAACAATAGGCTATCCAAGAGCAACTTTGAGTACTAACTCTAATTAATAAGCTTGTAAATTTGCCATGAGCTTTGACATAAAAATTATGTCCATTGTGCAGGTCCTCAAATGGACACAGTGTTTTTATATAACTCTAAAGTATGGATTATTTAATGAATGTGTATGTAATGATATCAACAGTACCCAAATCAAGAATAAGACAGTTCAACATGCAGGAGATGAAACCATCAGAAGTATTAGCAGGATTTACAGGACTTGCATGCATTTTAGCCATCTAACAGAGTTAGATATCAGAGCAGACTTCAGAATATCAGCATTTATTCTGCATTACGCCAGCACGTCTGGCTGCAGGCACCTGGAGTCCTGCAGTGCAGAAATTAGGGGCTGGGAGCTGGAGAGCTGCTGCTGYGGTGCTGGGGCCAGGGAAAGGCTCTGCTCAAGGCTCAGCTTGGGCCAGTGCTGCTCCGTCACTGCTACTCACACGTGCAATGAGTGTCACTCCTCGTCTCTTTAGGATTAAAATRAATCAACTCCATTTACAGGTAGATCGAAGCAGTAAAATTATCTATGATACCTCATGAGACAAATACCTAACAAATTCCAGTTACCCTTTCTCTACATACTGCAAAATAGGCTTTACAAAGGCTGACGTCATAAGGAATATAGGTCTCCAGTTTAAAAACAAGAGCCCTCATGTCCCAGCAAAGCCCACCTGCCCAGGCCTAGACCCATCATCGRAGCCTTGAAAGCAGCCATTACACTAACCTATCACTTAGGCAGTCTCAACTTCTCAACTCATTTTTTTTTTTTCCCCGAATCCACTGTGAGAAGATGGCTGGTGGTCTTGCCCACCAAATGGTCATTTTAGCTCAAGAATTAGATAAGGAGCAACTAGAAAAGGAAGCTTCTCCCTCCCTCCAGGTCTGCCAGACCGAGGCCGAAGTCCCTCAGTGCTCAGAGGCTGTGGGAAGGGCTGCGARCAGCTCTGGGCTCCCGCCTGGCTGGGAACAACAGGGAGGGCAGGATGAGGCGAACGCTAAGCRGCCTCCTTGACTCGGCCCAGGCAGGTGGGAGGCCCTGGACCATCTTTACTCACAGTGATACCCCTGACTGCCCCTTCCTCTCCTTCATGCTGCCCCATCTCCAGCTGTGACTGTGTCCGATACTGTTCCTGACCACGGCTCACGTCGTGTCTGAGCTGGTACCGCAGCCCATGTGGYACAAGGCCCAGGCACAGAGTATTTTGCTAGGCCCATACAGACAAGATGTATAGGAACATTTTTTTCAGACCTTGTCCTAACAGATTCTTCCAAATGCCACGCACTGATGCTCAGACTGCAACTGCATGGCAGCTCCTCCTCAGTTTCCACATCCCRCTCCTGGTGTGTGTACATGGAGAGCGGGTATACACAAACAGCACTGGCACAGGCCCGATATACCAGCAATCGGCATCTGGCATGTTTGAAACGCCAGGTAAAGGCCTGGTAAAGCAACATTTACAGAAATCTTGCTTTCATCAGTCCTAGGAATATTTCTAACAGGTCAATGAGCGTTATCTCAGTGAATTACATGGCAGATGATATCTTTGGATCTCTATGTATTCCTGGCTCTCCACCCAATTCACCCCAATCCYTCTGAGACTCCTCTARAACGCAGTGTCCAGAACAGGACATRTCATACTTGATAAAGCTTTCCAAAGCTGCTGGATTATAATGATCACTTCATGGATCTAAGCAATCATCACCCGTTCCTCCAGTGCAGCGTGTGCCTTGTCAAGAGCTCACCACAGTGTGACACAAGGCTGAAGGGACAGATCCCCCCTAGGRTCATAGATCCCCCCGGTCATCCCTGTCACTGTTCATGAGGCAGATTATTCCTGCCTACAGCAAGGCCCTCCTCATGGCCCCAACTGACCAGAGGCCTMATGTTTCCTCAGGTCTTATCCAAGAGAGGATTCTGAAACCAAATCCAGTCCAATAATGTACTTCAAGTCCCATTAGTTCAGTGGCATCTGCACATTTCATCCGTACTCTCTACTTTTATCCATGAGTATATTGATATTTGRGTATATAAAATAGCTCTGAATTCCCACCCAAAATAGCTTTCCAGTTTTGAACAGTGAATCACCAGTAACTACTTACTGAATACAGATTGCCACTATGCTTTTSAGACCAGGACACACTATGCCAAAAGACAGTTTCCAAAGCTACTGGAATATAAAGATTATTTAATGGATCTTCTTGATAATACCCTGTAGTAGTTTCAAAAAGGATCTCTTTTTTCCAGCCTGCTTATGAAATCCCCATGGCAGCATTGCAAAATCCACTTTCTTCTCCATCTACACAGCATACTAAGCTCTGTGGCAAAAACAAGGCTGGCTGGGCAACCAAGCCCTCTCATCCTCTTCCCAGTCTTTAGTTAGATTCAGATTTTTGGAGAGTTTATACTTCCTGTACCCTGCTCTGTTTTTAATGCTGAAGTTGATGGGACATCCTGGAAACCAAGGGGACACTGTTGCCACTGCTTACGTGAAAGGAAAAAAATAAGTCTCAACATGGGAAAAACAGTATTTTAGATGCAGAATGTAAGGTGTGAGTACTTATACCAAGTTTACTCTTCAACAATTTGGCCACAGAAGCCATCTGCCATTTTTAAATACCCATCAAAATACAGTTTAAAATATGACATTAATAATCGCCTTTGACACATCATACTTCTGTCCTGAGTTATTTCAAAAGCACATTTTCTTTGTGATACTGCAAGAATTGGCCAGTCTGAAGGAAGTTTAGCGCAATTCGTACAAACTGAAAGGGGATGGGGAAGCAAAAAGCACAAAACAACTCCACATTTCTGTACCGATAAGCAAACATTTCAAGCAAAATGTTACCATGGTTGTATTTCATCTAGAAGATGCTTCATTCTGCCTTGAAGACAGGCACTTCTTTTTGTCTCCTGAAATATGTTTCTAATTTGAGTTTAAAAAAATATTTCCATTGTGCCATATATGCGGTAACTCAAAACCAAAATGAAAGGATTAAAATCAGGGCTGCACAGAATGGTTTAAATTAAATTCAGGTAGTGGGGAAGACTGCCGTATCTGGCAAGCTCCCACTTACTGAGCTCTCTGGCCAAGAGGCAAGATGAAGCATAACAATCCTTACCTGCCAAGTCTAGAGCCATTCTGAAGCTTTTATTCATCTCTTAAAATAAAATGTTAATGTTCTTGGAAGCTTGCCTTCCCACACAGTACATCTCACCTGCCTTTTCTTTATCCTCACACAAATGTATTACCATATGCTTTGGTAGTGATCCAAAGTATTTTAATTTCCCCCCCCCCCCCCAAATCCATGGTATTTAAACTTATCGCCCATTACACTTCAGTGGAAGACATGACCGAGTCTAACAGGTATTTGGAAAATCTGAACTAACAGGTTACAATGCACTGCAAATAATATCCTATATAACAWGCTAAGATCTGGCCTGTGGTGGCCAGTTGTCACCTTTCACACCTGTAAAACTGTCATCCCCATGTAGTCTTCCTATTTAAATCTCCATTCCCACTACATGGTTCAATATATGATATTGCAGGCTGATTTACTTATGATTCATATTATCACTATTGACAATTTAAATCATGTTGGCCCTAAAACCTCCCCAAATACAYATCATATCCCTGAATGAATTGCCTTTGGCTAAGAAGGAAAGAAAGGTAACTGGAGTTATGATTCAAGGATACTAAACTGTTTTTCAGAAAAGGCATTGGTGTCGAAGTATTAAGGTTCTCATGCTTCTTTGGAGATTCCTCAAGCAGTAATATTATATTGTTTTTACAACCATTTGGGAAGAAATAAAATAACACGTAGATCCCTCTGGAGATTTCTTCCAGTCTTGCATAAGGTTTAAAGATTTTCAAATGGTACTAGTAACAAAACTATACAGTAACACTCTGGCCTAATGAGGTCACAGTTAATCTTTATAGACTATCTACCCACAGGGAGTTATTTATTTTAAGATAGGGACTTCCCAAACTTTCCCCTCGCCCCACATATACTACCAGCAACAACGGTAAATACCTGCACTGGCAGCATCAGCTCCCATTTCTTGCCAGGCTGTAAGCCGCTTGGAAGGGATTTGTGTCCCCCTCGCTAGTACGTTCAACACAGTTTCCAAGCAGCAGCATTCAATAGCATTCTAAAATCCCAATTTGCTTTATAATCTGAAGAATTTAGGACAACCACATATAGAAAGTCAGATATAGCTGTTTTGAGAAGGTGCTGCCAATGTTTTTCTTGACTTCTTTTCTCTCCATTAGACTTTTCTCAGTCTCTGAGCACAGAGTATTTTGTAGAATACATTGTTCATGAGATTTTGATAACTTCGTTCACGACAACAATCTTCACATCTTACTAGTTGTGACTATGGTATTGTAACAGGTCAAAAACCAAAGAAATTTCAATATGGAAAAATAGCAAGCGATCATGGTTGAAGAAGTGCTGTGAGTTCTGGACATTTTGGGCTGTACTGACAGGAGGTAATGAGACTATTGCTAGTACTAAGCTTTCTGCAAAACACTATTCAACAAAAAGTTCAACTTTGTTCTTTATAATTTGTCACACAGCAATTAAGGAGTGACATACTAGTAATAAAGGCTGCTTTGGTTAACCGTGAGATCTTTCTTGGGCAGCTTTTCATGAAATGGGATAATTCTTAGAAACTAACGGCCACCACTTGCCAGTGAAAGGGAAA